ATATGGACGCAGATGGCGAGAGTCAGTATCATCATTTGTTAGCCATTCCCACCAAAGAACAACTGTACCGCGTTCTCAGTTATGTGTTAGACGAAGACGAATTCCTGGCTCCGTATGGCATTCGTTCCTTGTCCAAGTTTCACGAGAGGAATCCCTTTAAACTGGAACTGAACGGTGAAGTGTACAGCGTGCATTATGTTCCAGGGGAATCGGACACCCACATGTTTGGCGGGAACAGTAACTGGCGTGGACCTATATGGATTTGCAGTAAGTAACGTGAACTAGTCAGGGTCAGCCATGAGGGTACTCGATTTAAAATCCCCCTGTATACCGTATACCCAAAAACCCTTGACTAGTGTCCAGTCTTTATTGTATCGTTCTTAACTTCATTCACAGTTGTACTCATCGTCTAATCATGACTAGCACCATTTGAAGAAAAATCAATTTCGGTCACTCGAACTGACCTTCTGTCGCTCATCGAAACCACTGCGCTTACGATGCCTTGAATATGAGTTCTTGACAACATTTTTTGTCTAAGCGGGGCAAAAATAGTCATTTGAAAAATTCCCCATGCTTTCAGATATCCTGAACTTGGAGTGATGTCTTTCGAATCAACGAAAATTTCATTCAGCAAATGTCCGCCATGTTTACTACCAGGCTTCAGAAATGTTAAATTCACCGCCTAGCGCAGTGAGATTTAAAGTCCAATTCTTATATTCTTATATTCACTAAAACAGTTAGATTACTCGCTCTGGATTTCTATTCCTGATAGAAATCTCGAGCTTTAATCTAAGCTTAGTGTTCAAGGGAGGTACAGCTTTTAGTGCACGCTTTATTACAGGGTGTCCTCTGACTGATATTACTAGAGTTCGTCTACTAAATGCTGCAGTCTGAATGGCTGAGCTACTCGTATACTATCAGCCAGTTGAGTACAGTGGCCAGAGGTCGTCCTCAAAATGGCAACGTTTTCTAGTTTCTCTAATGTTTCGAGGAAGATTTAGAAATATTATTGGATAGTTAGATTATTCGCTCGAGATTTCTATGAGGTGATAGCTGGCTCGGGCTACCCTCTCATCAACTATCACGTCATAGAAATCTCGAGCTTATAATCAAATTGTTACATGAAAGTGTTACTTTGTTTTGTTTCCAGTGAACTATCTTTTAATTGAAGCCCTCGAACGTTACGACTATTTCTTTGG